TTCCCTTCTAACACCAATACTGCTTCAAATAAATTTAATACACTAGTTTGGAAGTGCTTTTCATCTTCCCTGAACTTAACAAAAAGTGGTAATCTTTCTAAAAATCGGTCTAAAACTGAACTCTTTTTTCCCTTAAAAGATATACAATGATCTGTTATCAAAGAATGCAACCAAAGCAAGATAGGAAATTCTTAAGCAATCTAAAATATGTGTTGTCACGTAGGAAGAAAATAATAATAGCGTGGAACCCAATTTCGATCTTCATTTATTATTGAAAGAACTGACAACATGCATAAATCTTCATTTGAGAATTCATGTACTAGTCTTTTCAATTGGGAAAATTCTTACTGGAATTCATCGGCTGCCATCAATACTTTATGGAATGGGCCCTAAGTGGGATGCAAATATCACCCTCAACCTGCTGCTACATGTAATCACAGTCACGCTTGTGAATGCTGGGAGCAGGAAATTTCTCTAGTGGTAGGGAGGTGATATTGAAAAACTGAGAATGGCTACATGGCATCCATATTCTGTTTTAAGTACAGTATGATTTTAACAGCATAATTATGTCATTGTAAAGTATAAGAGATTAATGTCTACTTTATATATAAAGTAAATATTTTACCTTCACTTGAGTTAAATTCATATTAGGGTGTTTTTCCAAAACATGAATTTCATGAGCCAATATGTCAGCAACATAGAGATACCTTTGCAGAAAGGACACACTGGTTAGAGCTCCATGCCAATACAAAGCTTCATTAATACTGTATGAAAGAATAAGTCTTAATAACCTGCCAAGAAGTTAATCAATGATAGGCCCTCAGGAATGCTTGAGAAAGGTCAACTTTTATTTAAAAAGTTAGCTTTCAAAATCAATTCAGTGGTGCTACAACAATCACGGAATTATTAAATTATTTTTAAAGGCTTGTAAAGAAAAATTACATAGGAGATCATTTTTAATACAAAGCCCATGATATTTGCCACTGAAATAACAACACAATGAATATTTGGCTTCCTAAGAAAGGCTTTTATATTCCAGAATATAATAAGATATTTCTAATTACCATATATAAATAAATAGTATATAACAGGTGTTATTAAAATATCTATTAATACATGAAGAATTTAAAAGTCATTTAGAAATAACTTCAGAAAAATCTATCTACATCTAAGGGAGGGTGCATTAGTGACTGGGTAATTTCACTTACTGAACTATTTCATGGCAATTGCTCTATTGAGCAATTATCATGTGTAAAGAAAGCCATGTACTCAGTGTGGCAGCAGACCTAAGTATGAAGAGGATGCAGCCTCTCTGCTCAAAAGTTTACCATGTGTTGAAATGATCAGACTGGTTTGCACACGTTAAGTATCTATACAGCATGTTTAGTACCATAAGAAATAATTTCAAGACTAGAGACTGAAGAAATACTTAACTAAGGGGTATAAAGAAAGGCCCACATAGGGGAAGTATCTACAGTGGGTGTAGATACCTCCTACCTTTGAGGATGTGAGGATGAAGCACCTTCCAGGCAGAAGAAAACACGTGAGCAAAAGTACATCAAGAAGCAAAGCATGTTTATAAAATAATGAGTTCTTTGTCTAAAGCAGGAAAAATGTAGAACAGCAGGAAAGGAAGCGCTGTTAATGAAAACCTGGCACTTAGCTCGCCATGATTCGGTAAGCCATTGGATTCCACTGAATTCTTGGAGTAACAAAGGAGCGTTACAACACATGGTCCGTGCAGTTCCACAGCTATGGAGTATCTGTTTTGTGTCACCATGAAGAGTGAAAGAAAAAGATGATGGGACAGAGCTCTCATTCTGAGAGTCATTTAAGGCTAATGTACTATAGAAAGGCAAAAATGCCAAGAGTGTGAACAATAGAAATAGACTGACTGCAAACAAGTTAGGAAACAGTCTCCAACTTTAGCCAGAGAGGATGTGACCCTACATCAGGCAGATGTAGAAAGGGTGAGAAGGAGGGGAGACGGGCACAGCTGGAACCAAGAGGACATGCTCACCAGCTGACAGCAATGGTAGAGAAGGGGTTAAAGCTGAGTCCTGCGTTTATTATTTTTATTTTATTATTTTTTGTTTTAACATGGGTGACTGAAAAGTTTGACTCTCATAATGAAAATGTGAGAGGTGGAGAGAAAAACAGATTTGGCTAAGACATTGGATTAGGTAAGTGAAATGCAATTTAAATGATTCTACATCATTTTCTGTTATCAGGAAAGAGAAAAAAACTGCATCACAAAAATAAGGACATTTCATTTTCAAGGAATGCCAAATCTATTTCATGTTATATTTATAGCACTTTAATTGTTCAGCATGGTAAGGCAATAGAAGAGAAACTAATAAAGAATTTAATATCCTTTCTGATGGCTTGTGGTTGGGCATATCAAAACAGTGAGATAATTTTGGAGAACAATTTAACAATATCTATTAAAGTTAACATTTAATGGGTTCACACTGCTGGAAAAGAAGGGTCTATTTCTAGAGGTTATTTCCACAAAGCATTTGCACCAAAGTGCAAAAAGGTAGCACTCAAAATACTGTTTAGCCAGTGCTCTAGCTGGGATTGAACCCAGATCTAAGTCCAAATTCTGCAAATTTAACCACTGGACTACAATAGTCTCTTAGACAGTTTTTTCTTAAAAACTACTTGAATAGGTTAAAGTGGTAAATGAGATGTGTATAAATGGGTTTTACACACACACACACACACACACACACACACACAAATCCCTATATCTCAACAGAGTATTGGTTAGTTTAGGATTATCCACACAATGGAGTATTCTGTAGCCAATAAAAATAATGACATATTTATTTAGAAGGAAATACTTGCCTAATATATTAATGTATATACATAAATATGGTCTCATTTGATTAAAAGTTACATATATAAAATTAAATTCAACAATGATATATATCAAAATTTATATAGTACATATGACCATGTATTATATAAAGTATATCTAATATGCAAGGAATAATATATACACACCATGCATCACACACACACATATTTACATATTATTTATTTTTTTTGGAGAGGTTTTTCGCTATAGGGCGCGTGCACTCGCCAGACAGAGAGAGACATAGAGATAGAAAGCGAGAAATCACCCCCCAGGGGAGATGGTCCCGCCGCAATCCCTTCTCCTCCATTCTCCTCTCGGGATCTTGGGCATGCATACACACGCGCCCGGCATGAGTTTTAAGCCACTGGGTCCGGGATGCGAACCGCGGTCGACTACGTGGGAGGCCAGCGACATAGCCATTACGCTAACTGCTGATTCCCCATATTTACATATTATATACTAACATACACATACTTATATTCTAAAAATGTCAAGAAAGCTATTTTCACACTGACCCAAAAAAAAAAAAGCAACAAAGAATGTGGCCAGCACCATGACTGAAGAGAAATGAAGATATTCTGTGAGGGGTCATACTTTTTATCAGGTGAAATATTGATCCCGTTGGCTGAATCAAATCCTTCTGCTACCACTTTCACTTCATTTGGACTGTAGTAAACAACATTTGTCCAGTGCAAGTTCAAGTATGTTTCCAAATACTTTAAGAAAGGGTCAGAAAAGTAATGATCATTGGTGGCATAGAAATGTGTGGGTCCAACAGCTACGATGTCATTCACACTGAAAGAGAAAAATAACATGTGAGAGAAAATTAAAAGCCCTGTTGGTCTCCATATTAAAGTTTAAACAGCCATAACACTCACATAACATGGGCTTTACATTTTTGGTAAGAGCTTTTCCTGGAAAGGATGCGTTTAAATCACCTGGCTATAGTCATACATGGTAAAATCCCTACGTAATACGTACAATAACATATGTATGACATACATAAAAATGACATAGATAGATAGATATTGGTCATAATAAAAGGAAAAAAGAACTTGGTGCCACCAGGGGATTTTTTTTTTCTTTTTTAGGGGAGAGTTTTTTGCTATAGGGTGCATGCGCTCACCAGAAAGAGACAGACAGAGAGACAGAAAGCAAGAAATCACCCCCAAGGGGGATGGCTACACCACAATCCCTTCTCCTCCATTCTCATCTCAGGATCCTGGGCATGCATGCACATGTGCCGGCATGAGTTTAAGCCACCAGGTCTGGAACTCAAACTGTGGTCGACTACATGGGAGCCCAGCGACACAGCCATTATACCAACTGCTGGTCCCCAGGGGATGTTTTTTGACAGTATGAAATGCAGGGTGTCACAATGATAATGTGAAGACAGGGCTGCTCATGGTATTAAGCTGTATGGAGTCTGACTGGTGAGCTGCTTAGGGCATCGATAACATTTACCTAGCTTCATTTTACTCAGATAATGAATTTTCTCGAGTTCTCTCGCTTAGTTATTAGTCAAAGTAAGGTTGACTGTTCAATTTCTACCTGCTTTCCAAAGCTGACATGCCAAGAATGTGCAAGCTCTCAATAAACACTTGGAGGGAGATGAATGATGAAATTGCCATAGTACAATGCTTCAGATGAGAGATTTATATGCTAAAAACAATTACATTTTAAAAACCAGTTAGGCAAGGGTGTTATTAAATTTAAATTCCAATTACCCTATGCAAAAATTTCTGAAAGAGCAGCTGCTTTATCCTTTGTTAAATGAAAAATACAGAGCTACAGGGAAGGAGGGGGGTCTCCTCTTTCTGAACTTCATAAATGCAGAGGTTGCCTAAATGGTATTCATGCTCCTATTGATTATGAATTGCATTTTGGAAGGTTGATTGGAAGTTACATGCTTCCATTCTACATAGGAAAGTAGAATTAAAAATATTCATCAAGTTTAAACTACAAGAACCAATAGGCTAATCCAAACTGAGCTGGGAGGTTACATGTGATTCTCTTTTAGCCACATTGTGAACTAGCTTTATGTTCTTGAATAGTCATGATTCACTTCTGACTTTGATGTCTCCAATTCTGTAGGGTCATTAGCCCATGGCTGCCATTAACCTGGTAAGGCACGTGTATAAAGTCCCATACAAAACAGCTACTCTTGGGGCCAGCAGTCAGCCTAATGGCTATGTCGCTGAACTCCCATGTAGTTGACCGTGGTTCAAGTCCCGGACCTGGTGGCTTAAACTCATGCCAGGCGCGTGTGCGTCCGTGCCCAAGATCCCAAGAGGAGAATGGAGGAGAAGGGATTGCGCTGTGGCCATCCCCCCTAGGAGGTGATTTCTTGCTTTCTATCTCTCTGTCTCTCTCTGTCTTTCTGGCGAGTGCATGCGCTCTGTAGCAAAAACTTCTCCAAAAAAAAAAAAAAAAAACCCAACTACTCTTCATTGGCAGGACAAATATTGCTGTTATTTGGGTAAGGAGTCTTGAGATGGGTGGTGACAATAAAAAAAAAAAAAAACATGGTAGGGTTTGTCTTCTACTTTTAAGATGGCCCTGAATAGTACCATGTTGTGGTTCATCATCTCTCAAAAGAGTTCACATAGAACACAGATTATTCTAATGAGAAATATTGACTTTCATATGCCATGTTCCCTCTGGTCTATAAGGAAACATAAATCTGTGTGAGTGTCTGTAAATATGAGAGAGGTCCTCAGAAAGTTCATAGAAAATGCATATTATAAGGAACTGTTATGAAACTATTTTAAATGAGTTTTAAACATTTTTGCACCAAAATAAACTTGTACTTTAATTTCATTTCCTCCACTCATTTTTATATCCCTCCTATGTCTATATAAGCTCTTGTGTGTGATGTGTGTACATGCTAACATATATTAGTTCTTATAAAAGGTGAAAGGACCACCCACCACATGGAACATTGAAGGGTGCTAGAGATAGATTGGAGAATGAAGAAAAGGAAGAAGTACCTTGGAAGAAGCTCATCTTTGATGGTCTTCAGATGCAACAAAGAATTTTCTTCTTCTTCAAATTTAAAAATTTCAACTGTATTCTTGAATTCCGGGTGGTTTACAACAAAGAGATAAACTGTGTCATCTAAGAAATTGAAAGAACAGTTAATTCACAAGACCTAACAGGACCTCTGGGCAGATACTGACATTTAAATACCACAGGCAAGGAAAGGTTGAATGTACGAGCTGTTAGACGACCTCACAGATCATTCTTCCTTCCTGTCTTTCCCATCACTGTCTGTCTGGTGTTATTTTCTGATCATTGGTCCACTGACCTTTAAGAAAGTGGGATTCCCATTCCACATACAGAATTCATGCATAATCTATTTATGGTTTAATTTGGAAATACAATTCTTTTTTAATACAAGGAACATAGATGTGTGAAAAGGTTATGAAATCTAAACATTCCTTCAGGTGAGAAATATTCAAACACAGCATAACTTACTTGTAGCTGAAGAGGCAAGTGAACAACTTGTTTGTATGAAGGATACAGAAATAATTATGAGTTAATTGTTCTTTGCTTTCTGTGCATCTAGTTTCCCACAATCATTTGTAAACTATCTTATGTTTCTTCATGCTGGTAGCTCATTGGCTCTTACCATTGTCTATGAAAGTGCTGATGCCATGTGGATTAAATGAACCCAAGTTAAACCCACGGCTGATTCTTAATTCCAGAGCCCTTGGTTTTTCTTTGTTTAGATCCATCATTAGTATTCCTCCAGGCTTATCTGGTGCAAAGCTGTGGAGTCCTGGAAATTTCAGACCCTTTCCAAGACAGGGAAAAAAGTTAAGAACAAAGACTTCCATATTTACATGAACTAAAACGAGAACTGCACATGAATGATAGAGACTTTTGGTTAAAGGTGATGGTATAAAGTCACAGGCACAAAGAAAATAGAAGACAATAGAAAAATAATGAATGGAAGCTGGGAAGCCAAAAGTTGAACAGTAACTTATTTTGTTGAATTGAGAGAGACCAAGGATCTACTTTTTTCCCAGAGGGTAACCAGAGGGTTGGCAGACTGGAAAAGTCCAGGCAGAGTTAAGGGTGGAAAGCTTACATACTAACTGTAGAAACCCTTAACTCTCGCCCTGGGCTCTGCTTCCACAATGCTGGAAGACTGAGTCAACAGTCAGTCAGAACTTCCCTCCTTGTCTCATACCTCGTATTCAAATCATCAACAAATCCTTTTGACTTACCTTGACAATCTCTCTCTCCATAAGGATATGAACAGTTCTCACCACTTCCTCCATGGCTACCCTGATTATGCCAGTAGCCTTCTAACTGGCCTTTCTCTTCGGTCCTTTACTCCCTACTATCTATTCTCACCTCAGCATTCAGGCTATGCTAGATTATGTCATGCCTCTGATTAAAACTGTCTAACAGGGCTGGCCCTGTGGCCAAGTGGTGAAATGCTGCTCAACAGAAGCTGGATCCCACCTGGCAATCATGCTTCGAATCCCAGCCTGGTCAGCCTGAAACATGCCAGGCACAGGATCTGGTGGAGTGGAGTAGAAGAAAGGGAATGAAGCACGACTGGACACTGTAGAGAGAGCTTATTTTCTCTCTGCATTTCTCTCATTTTCAGCTCACAATCATGCACTCTATCATGAAGAAAACACAAACAAGCGACCAGCAGTTAGCATAATGGCTATGTTACTAGATTCCCATGTAGTTGACCGTGGTTCGCGACCTGGACCCGGTGGCTTAAAACTCACGCCAGGCGCGTGTCTCTGTCTCTCTCTGTCTGTCTGGGGCCACCGCCACCTGAAAAAAAAAAAAAAAAAAAAAAAAAAAATCCTTTCCAAAAAAAAAAAAATAAAACACAAACAAAAAAACTCTAATGGCTTCCCATTTCCCCCCTATTAAAAGCAAAAATTCTTAAAATGGACTAAAGGTCTTGTATGATCAGCCCTCCTCACCCTCCCAACCCCAAATATCTCAGCTCTCTGTCCTCATCTCCCTGACTCTTCACACATAATACTGCGGCCATCTTAGCATCCTTGATGTTCTTCAATAAACCAAGTATATTCTCACTCACTCACTTTCCAATTCCCCTCATGTGTTATTTCATCACATACACATGAGGGGAATTTTAAAGGCGTATGGAGAAATGAAATTAAACTACAAGTTTATTTTGGTGCAAAAAAATTGAAATCCATACGTAGTCTTTTCATAAATTTTTGAAGTCCCTTTGTATTTTACTGGGTCATAAGAAAAGTCATGATGTGTTTCTCTATGCAAAAATGTGTCATGACTTTTCTGATAACCCAATTTTCAGGGAGTTAAAGGGCACGATTGCCCCTTGAGTACAGTGAGTTCACCTCCTCCTCAAGGTTTTAGTGCCATTCTTCCTTCTGCCTGTGACTATCTTCCCCCTAAATCTGGAAGATCTACTCCTTCCTTCCTTTCCAGCTGATCTCTGGTAAATGTCACTTAACAGAGACCTCATCTGCACTCTCTCTGAAATGGCAGTGCGATGCTACCCTCACATAGCTGCCAACCTCCTCTGCCCTACCTCACTGAATTTTTTATTAAAGCACGGTCACCATCTGACACATATTATGAGCCCCTTTGGATCACAAGCTGAGACTTCGTCTCATTTGTTCATTGCTAGATTCTGGTGCCTGGAACAGTGCCTGGTATATCATCCATCTCTTTCTCACTGACTCGAAATTCTACTTTAATCAGGTATTAGGACCCCATACGCATTGGTCTGTTTGGGGGAGTCTACTTTTTTCCCTATTGATGTCAATTCCTATGCCAATATGCCACTTTTAAAACTACTATGGAGATATATAATATAATACATATATCTCCATAGTAGTTTTAAAAGTGGCATATTGTATTTTATATATATATATATAAAATACATATATATGTCTATATACATATATATAATACATATATATGATTAAATTGCTATAAAATTAAATTGCTATTCTGAATACATTATTTTTATATTTTCTACTTGCTTTTTCCTAGTTCATGGGGAAGCCACTGAGTTTTATATGTTCATTTTTAAACCAATGATTTCTTCTCTTAGTTCCAACAGTCGGCTATTGAATCTCTTGGATCATTTAAAAAACAAGCATCCACATTCTCTAAAACTAATAAAAAATTTTGTCTATCTAGTATTTCTTTTTCTTGTTTATTGGGTTATTAAGAACTCTAGTAGATTACAGAAGGTTGTGATATTCTTGGGTATTTTTTTCCCTGTTCTGAATACTATTAAGAATGCGGTTAATGTTTCTTCGTCAAGAATGTTTGTTTTAGTTTTCTGGGAATGTTCCTTCTTTATCTAACTTGCTTGGAGCTTTGGATCAGAAAGGGAGGAACCAGGAGATGGCATAATGATTACATCACTGGACTCCCAGGTAGTTGACTGGAGTTAAAATCCTGGACCCAGTGGCTTAAAACTCACACCAGGCGTGTGTGTGTGCATGCTCAAAATCCTGATGAGAATGGAAGAGAAGGGATTGTGGTGTGGCCATCCCCTTGGGGGGTGATTTCTCACTTTCTGTCTCTGTCTCTTTGGTGAGTATACATGCTGTATAGCAAAAATCTCTCTAAAAAGAAAAGAAACAAATATTGAATTCTATTTCATGTTTTTTGGCAATCACTGAGATGATCAAGGTTATTTCTTTTTTAAATCAATCAATAAATTTATCTATCTATCAATTTCTAGTTCACCTTTTAATTTTTTTTAAGAATTATGTATTTAATATTATTCATTCATTCATTTATTTTAACTTGACCAGAGAGAGACACAGAGAGAAAGAGAGAGAGGGAAAGGTAGAAAGCAAGCCACTAGGTCCAGGACTCAAACCATGGTCAGCCACGTGGGAGTGTCCAGAGCCTTAACACCCCACCACCTGCTGGTCCCACACCTTTCCATTTTTAAATTAAAACTTTTTTGGTGATAAAAGGTTTTATTTTACTGTCCTACTGTATTCAGTTTACTAATACAATGCAGTCATATTTTATGCAAGCAAGGGTACAATTTAAAATGTATTCTTACTTTATGCACAAAATTGGTCATAAAAGGAAATCCTTTCAAGGTTTTTTTTGTTTGTTTGTTTTCAATGCCAGATTGTGTGTGTGTGTGTGCATGCATGCATAAGAGACAGACAGAAGGTGAGAGAGACAGAGAGAGAGAGAGAGAACATGTATCAGCCAATGGAGTCTTGTCATACTGTAATTCTTTTTCTTCCAATTCTCCATCCTGTTAGGATCCTGGGCATGCATGCGCACATAGCATGTTTTTCAAGCCACCTGGGATGGGATTCGGAATCTTTCCAATTCTGTAAGATCTGGCTTGCTTTGCACAGTGCTCTATAGGGTCAATGCCCAAGTTTTTAAAGTCTATCTACAGATGCAGTTTCAAAACTGGCAGGCCCATTCATTAGAACAAACTGGGACTGTGCTGTTGCTCTCTGGCAGTGCCACTTCATTTGTGAATAATCATCGCTGTTCATCTGTGTCTTCAAAAACAATAGCATGGTTTACATGAACTAGAAACTCTTTCAGATGGTGATAACTATCCATGGTTATTTCAACAGTTCCTGTTCCTTAACTCCTTTATTCTCTTTTAAACAATGTATTTTTGTGATAAAATATACACAACACGAAAGTCATCACCATCACCATTTTTTAAATGTACAATTCAATAACGTTATCTACACATGCATTATTGTTTTAATTTTTTCATGTTCTGTTCTATGTCAGCCAATCCCTCATCAAGTGGTACCCTCAAACCCACAGCTATGAAATATGATGAGGTAGAGGAGCTAAAATTCTAGGAGGAACAAACAACACTCATGATGTCTGAGCTCATTTGGAAGACAGCCCATCCCAGGAAATGTTAGAGACTATGTCAAGTAAATTATACATAATAGAAAACTGGCAATGTTTCTTTTTTGGGGGGAGAGGCTTTTCCTATAGGGCGCATGCACTCGCCAGACAGACTTAGAAAGACAGAGAGACAGAAAGCAAGAAATCACCCCCCAGGGAGGATGGCTACACCACATTCCCTTCTCCTCCATCTCCTCTCAGGATCTTGGGCACGCAGGCGCACGCGCCCGGTGTGAGTTTAAGCCACCGGGTCCGGGACTCAAACCACAGTCAACTACATGGGAGTCCAGTGACATAGCTATTATGCTAACTGCTGGTCCCCAAACTGGCAATGTTTCTAAATTTGAAAAAGAAAATAGTCATAAAAACCAAGGAAGGATAACAGTAGAAAGACAGAAGCAATTCTGTCAACATAGCTACAAGATCACTGAGTGTAATAGGCACCTCAGCTAACATGGGTATAGATTTATGTGCTTGGAGACCTTTCCCCTCCTACTTCAGATTTATTTCTATAGGAGGAAAAATCTTGAAATAGATGAGTCCTGGATTATACATTTTCAAGAACATATCCTTGCGGAAGCCGCGCGGGGCGCCCGGCGGAAGCCGCGCGGGGCGCGGGAGCTCATGCCCCC